GTGTGACGGGGGTGGCACCGCGGGTTGAGCCACTGCCTTCGACACCGACATGCCTTCCGAGCAGCGGTTCAAGTCCAGCTCTCTGCTAACGCACCTGGGAAGGCCGTGGCTGATGGCCCAAGTCCTTGGGCTCCGTCACCCACACGGCAGACCTGGGCAGAGTCCCAGACTCCTGGCTTCAGGCTGGATCAGTCTGGCCATTACTGTGATTGGGGAATGAACCAGAAGACCTCTGTCTCTCCCTATCATTCTGCCTTGTGAATAACTCAACTGAGGGAGAAAGGGAAGACGACGAGGAGGAGGTAGAGGAAGAAGGAAGAAGCTGCCGAATCAGGTGCGGCCAGAGGGTGATCACCGCTGGTGTGCTCAACTGCTGGATGAGCGTACTGTGTGCGTTTCAAAGCTTTCACACAAAAAGCTTTACAATGTGGCTGGATGCCCTCGGATCTTTAAGTCCTGTCGGTCCTGCCTCCCCTCCCTCCCTCCCTCCCATGAGTGCGGCTGTCCCTAGCAGCTCTGCCTCCCCCCCTCCTGTGCCCCCGCACGAGCACAGCTGTGCCCTGCAGATACCCAGCCCCACACGTGCTCCAGTTTCTCTGCAATAGCACAGCTCCGGGGCCAGCATCGTGGCCACTGCCTGTGACACCGGCATCCCACATGGGAGTGCCAGTTTGAGTCCGGGCTGCTCCACGCTAACACACCTGCTAACGCACCTGGAAAAAGCAGCAGGGGATGGCCCAAGTGCTTGGGGTTCTGCCACCTGTGTGGGAGACCTGGATGGAGCCTGGCCCAGCTCCGGCCACGGCAGCCATCTGGGGAGTGGACCACCACATCAAAGATGTCGATTTCTCTCTCTCGCTCGCTCTCCCTCCCTCTCACTCTGTAACTGTTTTTCAAGTAAAAATAAATCTTAACAAAAGCATAGTGTTTGCATACAATATACATATATCCTTGTGTTGAGAGAGAGGGAGGGGGAGGGAGAGAGAAAGAGAGAGGTCTTCCATCCGCTGGTCCACTCCCCAGATGGCCACAACAGTCGGAGCCGGGCTGATCAGAAGCCAGGAGCCAGGAGCGTCTTCCGGGTCTCCCACATGAGTGCGGGGGCCCAAGCACTTGGGCCATTTTCTGTTTTCCCAGGCCACCAACAGAGAGCTGGATCAGAAAAGGAGCAGCCGGGACTAGAACTGGTGCCTATGTGGGATGCTGGCACTGCAGGCAGAGGCTTAGCGCACTATGCCACAGCGTCAGCCCCCGATTTCTCTAGATGACTTCTACCACCTAACACAATGTCTGTGCTAATCAAACAGCTACCACACGCACAGAACAGGGGCCACTGTGTTATCCTAGTATTTCTCACCCATGGTTAACTGGCTCTAAGGATGCAGACCCTGTGGGTACGGAGGGCTGGCCGTGCCTGCCACGTGACCTAGCCAGGAAGCGTGCGACTGGCTGAGTTACAAGTCTAGGGCGTCTGGTGCAGCAGTTAAGACACCACGTGGGACACCACATGGAGTTCACGGTCTCAGCCTGGCCACGCTCCAGCTATCGCACGCATTTGGATAGCAAACCAGGGGATGAAGGTCTTTGTCTCTGGCTGCCTTTAAAATAGAATGTTCTGACGTATCTGCTCATTACTACCGTATCTGAACGGCAGACTGACAGGGGACACAGGAAGGGAGATGACACACCCCCATCACTGCTTCACCCCCTAAAGGACTTCAGTGGTCAGGGGAGCCAGGCCGAAGCCAGGAGACATAACGTCCACTCGGGGTCCTACGGGGGTGGCAGGGCCACAAGCACTTGGGGCATCACCTGCTGCCTCCCGGGATGTGTCAGCAGGAGCTGATGGGGCTGATCAGATGCAGACAAGGAGCGCTCTCAGCCGCGACGTGGGCGTCCCGAGAGGCGGCTCAGGCTGCAGACAGAAGCCTGAGCGAGCTCTGGGAGGGCACACCCAGGCGGCTGCCCGCGGACGGCCTCGCCGTGCACAGGCAGAGGGCCGGGGGAGGCCGGGAGGACCCCAGGAACAGGGAGGCTGCCTCTGCACAACCCTGAGCAGGACTCCTTAGGCTGTGCCCGCTCCCCTCACTTGCCTCATCCCAGCCCTGCGTCTGCTGTCTCGGGGTCTAACACAGCTCTCAGAAAAGGAGGAAACCATTGGGCGCCCAGGGCCAACCAGGGAGCAGACCCTCGCAGGACTAGGGGCATGAGAAGGGGCACTGGCGGTCCCAACAGAGCCACGCCCAGCCCCCTCCGCTAAGGAAGCCAAGGCGCAGGCTCCAGGGACGGATGCAGCCTTGCCCTGGACAAATGGCAACTGCCCCGGCTTCGCCAGGCCAACGCAACCTGGGGCTGGCCACCACCAGCGCAGCGAGGAGCCAACCTCTGGCGCCCTCTGCTGGCCTTTTTTTTAGTCATAACCGTGAGAACAGGTTAGAGACCACCTTGGAAAACTGGATTAAAGCAGATCAAGAAAAACTGCTATTACAGGCAGGCGGCCCTGGCCCTGAGAGATGAGCCCGCGCAGGCTCTACCGCCTGCTGTTACCGAGCCGGCCCCACCGCACAGGGAGGGCACAGCATGGAAATCACCCAGCCTCTCCCCACAGTTGCACCAGGCTGGGAACGCCTGCCGCGTGCCAAGGGCTGCAGTGTGGCTATCCTGGTGTTTTAAACGTGTGTATAACTGAAAAAAATCTTCATCTACTAGAAAAACAGAACGAGCCAGACAGACAGACCTTCCATCTACTGGTTCACTCCCTAAACGTGTCAGGGCTGGGCCAGGCTGAAGCCAGGAGCCAGGAACTCCATCCGGTCTCCCACGTGGGTGGCAGGTGCCCAAGCACAGGCACTTGTGGCATCATGTACTGGCTTCAGGCTGCACTGGCAGGGAGCTGGGTTGGATGTGGAGGTTCTCGGCCTTGAACTGCCGCTGCACTCTGGGCTGTGGGTGTCTCATGCAGTAGCCCAGTCCCTGGCTTAGTTCTTAGGTTGCTTGCACTAGTGAACTTTGTAAAAGTGCCTGCGGGGCGTGGATCCACGTGGACCCCACATGGCTGATCCGGTTTCCTGCTCTCCCCCACCCCTCACTGGAGGATTTTAGAGCAGACACCGGGCCTAGGGTTTCAGGCACTGCTGTACCTGAGACACGCATCCCACAGATGGACGCCGTTGTCAGACCCAGCCACAGCGTGGTGCGCCCCTAGCGGCACTGCACCGTGGTTCCTCTGGGCAGGGGCGTGCGTTGGCCTGTGCGTCAGGTCACTCTGTAAGTAGTCCTCATGGCAGCCTGGTCCTGCGGATCCTCTCGGGGCTCGTGGTCAGCACCATTTTTCTTTAAGATTCTGATGTGAGTTAGGGATTTTCCACCTGCAGGTTCATTCCCAAACGGCTGGGGCTGCGCCAGGAGCTTCATCTGGGTGTTGACAAGGGTGCAGGGGCCAAAGACTTGGGCCAGCCTCCGCTGCTTTTCCAGGTGCACTGGGAGGGAGCTGGATTGAAGTGGAGCAGCCGGGACACAAACCAGCACCCGTACGGAATGCTGGCCTCCCACGGTGCGGCACAAAACTGGCCCCAGCCAATCTTCTCTCCTAACAAGGGTGCGGTTTAACTATCTTTAAACTTCCCATTTATTTCTTTCAAAGGCAGAGAGCACGAGCTATCTTTCATTCCTTTCATTCGCCGTTCACGTCCCTCATCCTGCATGGCCCACGGGGGGCAGGGGCCGCAGCTGTGGCCTTCCCAGCTGCACGCTGGCAGGAAGCGGGAGTCAGAAGCCGATCCAGGACCCGTACAGGCCCCGCGACACGGAATGTGTGTGTCTTGACCCATGTGCCACACGGCAGCCCCCGGAGGCAGGATGTCGGTGGTCGCTGACAAGTGACCACATAGGGTTAAATTCTGAATTCTCATTTGTGTTGTTTTGTTTTAAAGGTTTATTTATTTCAAAAGGGAGAAGAGACAGAGAAAGAGGTCTTCCATCCACTGCTTCACTCCCCAGATGGCCACAAAGGCCAGGGCTGGGCCACATGGGTGGCAGGGAGCTGGACGGGAAGTGGAGCAGCCGGGACTTGACCCGGCGCCACGTGGGATGCTGGTGTCAGGTGGGGGCTCCACCCTCCGCGCCACAGCGCTGGCATCGCGTCCTTCCAGTCCTCACACTGACTTCTGCACCCCAGATTCACTCGGAGCCCAGACAGCAGTAGTGAGTGATCTGGGCAAGAGGTAGGGTCAGAGACGACCACAGCGCGCCCGACACCACGCTCCGGGCTGTGCAGCGCGTACGAGCCGCGGCGCTGAGCCTGGGAGGCGCAGACCTGAGCCCGGCTCGGCCTGAGGTGGAGCCGCCCACTGCGCAGGCGCTCCGCGCCCAGAACTCAGGCCAGAGGCCACGGCGTGCGCGACGCCCCTGCCCGGAGCGGGAAGTGGGCACAGAACCGAGCCAGGCCGCTTCCCCTCCGGGTTTTATTGACCATCACGGCTCCACCGCTCTCCGCGATCCAGCTCTAAGCGCGGTTCCCGTACCCCTCGCCCCTCGCGGTCCTGGTCCCGCGCCCTCGCCCACTCCCTTCCATAGAAGTCTTTCTGCGTTGCTGGTTCCCCACAAACCCGGAACCTGCGACTCCCTCGGGTTCCCACACAAAGAGCTTCTTCCTCCACGTCCTCGCCGGCCCCGCCCACACGGCCGGTCACAGCCGGCTGGCGCGGGATGCCGAGACATTCACAGAGAGGAGACAGACCCCTCCCACCCGCAGCTCACTCCCCAGACACCCGCAACAGCAGGAGCTCCATCTGGGCCTCGCACACGGGCGGCCGGGGGCCAGGCCCTGGGGCCCCCACCTGCCGGCCCTGCAGAGCGCGGTGCGCGGGGGGCAGAGCGGCGCCCGCCCCAGTGCGGCCGTTCCTGCGCACGGCTCCCCGTCGGGTCCTGGGGCGGCCACGCGTGCGGCCGACGGGGGGCAGGGGTCGCCCGGGTCAAGAACGCACAGGACGCCTCCACAGTACTTTTCCAGCTTCTATTGCAAAGTAAACACAAGACACAAGCGGGGGCGTCCGTCATGCAAACAGGGGGCCAGGTCCACGCACGGGACGAGTCCGACGTCTTCGGCTCGGGGGTCGCGCTCCCGGGCACGGCGCCGCGGGGCTTCACCGCGCGGCCTCCGCCTCGCTCGCGGCGAGCCGGTCTCTCCTCGCCCGCTGCAGCACCTGCTCCTCCCACAGCGCCTGGTCCACCTGCTCCGCGGTCAGCACCACGGGCAGGTACTTCTCGTCGAACAGCCGCTCGTTGGCCTCGGAGCGCAGCTGCTGCGGCCCGACCACGCGCAGGTGCGCGGGCAGGTGCGCGAACTCCTCGTCGTTGACGTCGCAGTCGCGCATCCGAGCGCCCAGCACCCACCAGCGGCCCACGAAACCCACGTCCAGGACCCGGCCCGGGAAGTCGGCCCAGCGGGGCTGCAGGTAGCGGCAGCGAGCCTGGTAGAGGCTGGCCTGGGGGTCGCAGGGAGCCTCGTACACCAGCGAGCAGAGCCCCAGGTTCACGTGGCGCAGGCGCCCGCGGCCCCGAAGCCACAGCAGCCGCTGCACGAAGCCCTCGGCAGGCCGGCTGCGCGTGGCCGGCGCCAGCAGCAGCAGAGTCCCCGACGCGTCCAGCAGCGCCTCCTCGAAGGCCGCCTCGCTGGGCGCCAGCGAGCAGCAAGCCGCCGCGCCGCCCAGCAGCGCCGCCCACGCCGCCGCTCGCCCCGGCCGCGCCCGCGCCGCCGCCGCCGCGTCCCGGCAGGCTTCGGCGTAGTCCCTGAGCAGCGCGCGGGCCCAGGCGCCTGGGAGGAAACACGCGCCATCAGAACCGTCCGGGTACGCTGCGGACACCCCCACCGCCGCCTTCCGCCCCTACTTACCCAGCCGCGCCCACACGCCGGGCTTGGCAGCCGCCGCGTCTCCCGCTTCTCGGCGTCCTCGGGCCCAAAACCTCTTCAGAGCGGTCGCCGCCATCCTCTTCCGGTCTGAGGTCCGTTCTCCGGCAGGAAACACCCGTGATCCGAAATAAAAGCTCCGGGTAGTGTCTTCTGCGCACGCGCCAACGCTACCGGAAGTGGCTTCCCGCCGGAAGAGTATAGAGACCAGACCGGCGCCGGATGTTGCTGTCCGGCGCGACCCGGCTCGCTTCGAGGGTGGGCGGGCCGCGCAGGCGCACTTAGTCGCAGCCACGCCGGCCGAGGCAGCCGCAGGTGGGCAGGGCGGGGTCCACCTGTAGGGGCCAGGACGGCGAGTGTCAGCGCCCGTGGGTGCCGTTAGCCACTACGCAGTGCTTGGAGCCGGGGCACAGGCCCCGGGAAGGGAGCTCCGTCCTCAGAGCGGGATGCAGTGAGGACGCCCGGCGACCATGGCAGCGGCCGACGAGCTGGCCTTCCACGGTGAGTGCGGCCCGCGCGTGCCCGGCGCCCCCACTGCGGCCCCTGGCCGGGCAGCTTCCGGCTCAGAGTTAACCAGAATCCCAGACGGTGGTAAACCCTGACCCCGGATCTGAAACCCGATCCCCGCGTGAGACCCACCTCCATCCACCTCCACTCGTGCCCCGGGCCCGTGACGTCCCAGGACCCATCCCAGGACGAACCCTACATTGCAGCCCCGGGTTCGCCTAAGGGGACAGCTCTCTTCCCCGTGCCCCCAGACTGGCTCGGGGAAGACCACCGAGGTGGCCGCGCGGTACACCTGCGTCCCATGCGCCCTCCCCAGAGTTCGAGGAAGCCACCAATCTCCTGGCCGAGACCCCCGATGCCGCCACCACGAGCAAGAGTGACCAAGTGACCCCCCAGGGGCACGTGGCAGTGGCCATGGGCTCGAGCGGCAGCTACGGCGCCGAGGAAGAGGAGGAGGCGGAGGAGGAGGGGGGCGACAAGGCAGCGGTGAGTGGCCCGCGGGTGGCCCGCGCACTCGCGTCCCCGCGCCCTGCGTGCCCCAGGCTGTCGGGCAGGGACTGACGGTGTCGGGTGCAGCTCCTGCAGGAGAAGCCGCAGCCCGGATTCTGGACCTTCGGCTACTACCAGAGCTTCTTCGACGTGGACACTTGGCAGGTGAGGCTGGGGCTTGTCGCGCGCGGGGCTCAGTCCCGAGCTCTCAGGGCAAGGCCTCGGGCCGGGGAAGGGGGTGCCGGGGCAGCGAGGAGGGGAGGAGTGGGCCAGCCAGGAGGTGATGAGAAACCAAGGCTGCAGAGCTGGGACCTGTTCAGGACGGCAGAGCTGGACAGAGGCGCAAAGGCCTGGGGCGGGGCTCCGGGAGGGAGCGCATCCGGAAGGGCCCAGGGCCTGGGGTGGGGACGCACCTGCTGCGCACGGTGGCGCTGCCCTGGGCAGGTGACAGGACCAGCGCTGAGCCGAGAAAGGGTCTGCAGATGAGCCCGGCCGGAAACCCAGGGGGAGAGCTGAGCTCTGCCAGGCGGGGTGGGGCAGGAGGCTGGCAGCACCTCGCGTCCTGACACGGGACTTGCCCCCAGGTCCTAGACCGCATCAAGGGCTCCCTGCTGCCGCGGCCCGGCCACAACTTCGTCCGGCACCGGCTGCGAAACCGGCCGGATCTCTACGGTGAGTTCGGTGGGTTGTGCGTCCAGCCCGTGTGGGCGGGGCAGGGCCATCCCTCGGAGCTTCCCTTCAGGACGGCAGAGCTGGACAGAGGGGTCACCCACCCGCGGACGCCCCCCACAGGCCCCTTCTGGATCTGCGCCACCCTGGCCTTCGTCCTTGCTGTCACTGGCAACCTGACCCTGGTGCTGGCCCAGCGGAGGGACCCCTCCATCCACTACAGCCCCCAGTTCCACAAAGGTGAGCAGGCTGGCAGGCCCAGCACCCGCAGGGCTGGGGTGCCGTGGGGCGCCGGGCGCGTGACCGCCTCCTCCTCCCCTCCCCCACAGTGACCGTGGCAGGCATCACCATCTACTGCTACGCGTGGCTCGTGCCGCTGGCGCTGTGGGGCTTCCTGCGGTGGCGCAAGGCCGTCCGGGAGCGCGTGGGGCCATACACCTTCCTGGAGACTGTGTGTGTCTACGGCTACTCCCTCTTCGTCTTCATCCCCACGGTGGTGAGAGTGGCCCGCAGAGGGGGTGCCGGGGGGTCTGCGGGGACTGCCTGGCACGGCCGCCGGCTGCCATCTTGTCCCCAGGTCCTGTGGCTCATCCCCGTGCCTTGGCTGCAGTGGATGCTGGGGGCGCTGGCCCTGGCGCTGTCGGCCGCCGGGCTGGTGTTCACCCTCTGGCCCGTGGTCCGGGAGGACAGCAGGCTGGCGGCCGCGGCGCTGCTGTCCACGGTGGTGCTGTTGCACACCCTGCTGGCCATGGGCTGTAAGGTATAGTGGGGCTGACCCGGGCGGGGCCGCAGGGCTGGGAGCCGGCCCGCCAGCCGCGGGGCTAACCCCGGGGGTCTCGGGTCAGCTGTACTTCTTCCAGCCGCTGCCCCCACAGCAGGTGGCCGTGCCACCCCATGCCACAGCTCTGGGCGTGAACACGCTGCTGCCGGCCACACCAGCCCGGGCCACGGCAACCTCTTAGGACCCCCGAGCCCGCAGGTGAGGAGCTGCTCCCGGCCAAGGCGGTGGGGGCCGGCCCCTGCCCCAGGCGAGACGCACAGGGGCTTCCCGGGGCTTCTCTTTCAGGCCGCACCAGGGGCCCCCAGACAGCGACCCAGGCCTCGCGGGACGCCTTGAGAGCCCTCCGCCACGTCCAGACTTTTCTTACAAAGCAAACACTTTTATTTTCTATGCAAAGGTGATTCAGAGAATTTATATAAAGGCGGGAGGGAGGGACAGCCGAGCAGGGAGCTTCCAGCCCAGGGCCAGGCAGGGCCCCGCCCCCGCCGGCCCCGCCCTCCTCCTCCCTGCCTCCCGAGGCCTCGGGCCTGGCTGTGCTCGGGGCCTCGACACGGGGACAAGTACAAGAAAACTGCCTGTGCTGACATCCATGTCCTGCTTGGTTTATTTTTTTCTTTCTTTTCTGTGTCTGGAGGGAGAGGTCCCTTCCCAGGCTGGGAGGGGCCGAAATGCCATCATGGTATAGGGACTGGAGCGGCAACACAGGCCTAGGGTTAGCTAGAGGAAGAGGACGGGACGCCCCCCCCCAGCCCCGGGGCGCAGCGCCAGGTGTCCGTGCCTGTCCCGGGGCGCTGGGACCTACCCTCCAGGCCACCGGTCTAGCACGGGGCGCGGGGCGGGGCGGGATGGGAGCAGCAGGAGGCGGGGGCTGCGGACGGAGCCTCCAGGCAGCCAGGGTGGGTTGTACATTCAAGTGTGAGGTGAACCCTTGGGTGAGGAGGGGGTCCCAGGGCCTGGCCCCACCCGGCCCTGAGGACCCTGCAAGGCCGCCCCCCCGCCCCGGCACCCCCCCCCACGCCCCGCCACTGAGCCTCTGAGTCCGAGGGGGGGACGGGGGCTGCTGGCTGGGCCCGGCCGGCCGGGTTTCTCAGAGGATCTGTGGATTGACACTGGTTCTTTTCGTAAAAAAATAAAATTAAAAAAAGCAGCATGTCACGCCCGTGGTGACCAAGGCCTGGGAGCTGAAGGGGGCCCCGCCCAGCCGGGCCGGGCGGCAGCTGCGCCCGCCTCCCACCCCGACCGGGCGCAGCTGTGGGCCCCGCGGGCCGCGACAGATGTCAAGGCCAGGTCGGGGGGCTGGGAGAGGGGGACGAAGGCGCCCCTGACGGGATGGCAGCGGCGCGCGCTCGTGGGCAGGGGGGCGGCGGCAACACGGTGTAAAAAAATGTCCAAGTTCCCATAGCAAAGAGGGCTGTGACGGGGTGTTCGGGCTGCTCCAGCAGGGGCGTCATTTGGTTTCCTGGTGCTGTCGCGGGCGGCCGCGGCGCCTAGCTCCCGTAGTGCATGGTGTTGGTCGGGAGAGACAGGGGCGAGGCCATGGAGATGGCGGGGCCGCCCATGGTGAACTGGCTGTTGACCGCATAGTGGGCGCTCGAGCCGCCGCCGCTGCCCTGGGCGCCCGAGGAGCCTGTGGGGCAGGGCGTGGGCACTGAGGGGCCGCCGTGGCCCCCCGGCCCGCCCGCCGGCCCCCCCAAGCCGAGAGAGAGAGCGCGTGCAGGCGGGCGGCGCACTGGCAGGCCGGCGCGGCCCCCCGCCCGCAGGCCCCGCGCCCGGCCCCCGCGTTACCTTGCACAATGCCTGTGCTCATTATGGAGCCCATCCGCGAGTGGGTGTGATTGACAATCCCCGTGTTGGCTGCGCAGCGAGGGAGGAAGGAAGGGAGGGAGACGGCGTCACCGCCCCCCGCCGGCCCGGCCCGCGGCGACAGAGCGAGGCGGAGAGAGAGCCCCCGGCCCCCACTCACCTAGAGGAATCAGGTTGTTGTGGCCCACGCTGGAGCCGCCGGCGATAACACTGCTCAGGTCGTAGGCGGTCGGCATCCCTGCGCCCGGGGAGGGGGGACGTGTCACCAGGGGCCGCCCGCTCCCCACTCCCCGCCCCGCCGCCCGCGGGGCCAGCGCGGCCACTCACCCGC